CCGGCCAAACTGAGCAATCCGGGGAGAAGGGCCTTGGTCAGGGAGGTGACCAAGAACCCGATGGTCACTCTGACAGAGGTCCAGAGTTCCTCTGTGGAGATGGGAGAACCTTCCAGAAGGACAACCATCTCTGCAGCACTCCACCAATCAGGCCTTTATGGTAGAGTGGCCAGACGGAAGCCACTCCTCAGTAAAAGGCACATGACAGCCTGCTTGGAGTTTGCCAAAAGGCACTTAAACGACTCTCAGACCATGAGAAACAAGATTGAACTCTTTGGCCTGAATGCCAAGTGTCACGTCTGGAGGAAACCTGGCAAAGTACAGAGACATCCTTGATGAAAACCTGCTCCAGAGTGCTCAGGACCTCAGACAGGGCGAAGGTTCCCCTTCCAACAGGGCAACGAACCTAAGCACACAGCCAAGTCAACGCAGGAGTGGCTTCGGGACAAGTCTCTGAATGTCCTTGAGTGGCCCAGCCAGAGCCCGGACTTGAACCCGATCGAACATCTCTGGAGAGACCTGAAAATAGCTGTGCAGCGACTGCTCCCCATCCAACCTGACAGAGCTTGAGAGGATCTGCAGAGAAGAATGGGAGAAACTCCCCAAATACAGGTGTGCCAAGCTTGTAGCGTCATACCCAAGAAGACTTGAGGCTGTAATCGCTGCCAAAGGTGCTTCAACAAAGTACTGAGTAAAGGGTCTGAATACTTATGTAAATTTGATATTTCATTTTGTTTTTGTTTTTATACATTTGCTAAAATTTCTACAAACCTGTTTTTGCTTTGTCATTATTGGGTATTATTTGTAGATTGATGAGGAAAAAAAGAAATAAAAAAATCAATTTTAGAATAAGGCAGTAACGTAACAAAATGTTGAAAAAGTAAAGTGGTCTGAATACTTACTCTATAGTCAGGTAGAGTAACACTGTAGCGAGGTGTTTGGAGAGGGTCAATTTGAACCCAGATGAATAGGTTTAAAGGTAATGTCCTGTAACTTCACTTTGAAAACACATTGCTGTTGTTGTTGTTGTTTAGCTGCATATAGTCCGAAAGGTTTCAATAATGGTGCTATAGTATTTTCTTCTGTTCGTATTGAAAACAAATGCTATATTGTTTGTTTGGCGCATATACTGTTAAACCAAATATGTGTTTTATTTCTGTAGATTAACTACTTATACTACTGCTGCAGAATTGGCTGCCACAAATGTTTTAACATAAAAGCCTTCTCCTAGAAATGAGGGACACTACTCACTTGTGTTTCTTAGTGAAATGTGCCCATTGTTTCATATACTGTAACCCTGCATTTTTAAACACTGTTAGAAAACTACTCTGCTATGTGTCACAATTTACCCTCCCAGTCACCATTACTCAGCAGTTCATATCCATATTTAATGAGCCCTCAGCCGTGATATACTGTAATTACCCCATTAGGAGCCATGCATTTTAACAAGTGGGTATATATAAAAATACACCAACATACTGATATAGTTAATGTTACAATATTGCTTCAAAAAGGTTATTGCTATATTATTTCAGTGTGTCACTTTCCAATTGTTCTCGGTGGCTGCATTTACACAAGCAGCCCAATTCTGTTATTTTGCCCAATTTTGGGCAAAAGAGCTGATCTGATTAGTCAAAAGACCAATTAGTGGGAAAATATATGTTTAAACGCAGCCTCAGTTTCTGCTATTGTGTTAGATCTGAGCCTTGTTCATATCAATGTGACGTGATTGCTTGTGGTAAAATAGAGGCTTTGTCAGGTATTTCTAAGATTAAAGCATTGTCCCTGTAAAATAAATCACTGTGATAGTTGTAGGTCAAGGTTTAGAACTCAGTACTGAACACAATGGAACCAATACAGTACCGTTTCTGTCCAGTGTAGGTTTTTACTGGATTGACATGACAGTAGAGAGCCCTGTCTTCCATAGGATTGTAGACAGGAGGAGTGAGAGAAAAGGATAGTTGGGAAGATGGATGAGGAGGAGGAAGAAAAGGAAGGGTACACAGAAACCTTTACTTTTAAATCTTACCTAGTTTTCCTTATGGAAAAAACACATGACTTCACATGTGGAAAATCACATTTTCACGTGAAATTTCCATGTTTTGCACATGTGAAATTCCACATATGAAAATCATGTGAAACTGTGTATTTTGGGAACACTTCACATCTGATGATATTTCACATGACGTTTCACATGTGGATTTTCACGTGATCACATAACCTTGTTCATGCTAATATTTTTCACGAGATTTCACAGGTGATGCCCTGCAAACAAAAATGAGTCGTTAGAATACATTGTGTATGTTCATTTATACAGTAATTATCATTCAACATGTCCTCACTTGGGATATGAACTCGCAACCTCTTGGTTTAAGGCATTCCGATCTTCCAGCTATGCCACCATCTCTGTGTTAATGACTGATTTCACCTGTACTCATACGCTTTGGACTTAAGTAAAGTCAATCTCAGTTTTGTTAAAAAAACACTCAAGAAAACTATTATATTTATCATAGTGATTCAGGAGTAACATTAAAACAGAATAATATGCCTTACCAACATTCGACAACTATACAGAAAACCCCTCAAATTGCGGAAATAAGTAAATGAAATCAATGATGACAGAATAGTCAGATTAACTGATAGCAAAATAGTGCCATCTGCTATTTTAGTTAAGTGCAGAGATGTATTATAGGTAATGAATATGTAAAGTCATGTTACAGACTTTGCAGCACAGCAGAAATATGAGCAGTTGAGTTCAAAGCCCAGTTGGGGCCATATTGAAAAGTCAGTACTAAGTGATCATGTCAAATGTAATCATATTGTCATTGATTAAAGATTTGTTTTACACTATTTTATCTGAACAGCGTACCACTTACTTTAAAACCCCCATATACAGTGGGGGGAAAAAAGTATTTAGTCAGCCACCAATTGTGCATGTTCTCCCACTTAAAAAGATGAGAGAGGCCTGTAATTTTCATCATAGGTACACGTCAACTATGACAGACAAATTGAGAATTTTTTTTCCAGAAAATCACATTGTAGGATTTTTAATGAATTTATTTGCAAATTATGGTGGAAAATAAGTATTTGGTCAACTACAAACAAGCAAGATTTCTGGCTCTCACAGACCTCTAACTTCTTCTTTAAGAGGCTCCTCTGTCCTCCACTCGTTACCTGTATTAATGGCACCTGTTTGAACTTGTTATCAGTATAAAAGACACCTGTCCACAACCTCAAACAGTCACACTCCAAACTCCACTATGGCCAAGACCAAAGAGCTGTCAAAGGACACCAGAAACAAAATTGTAGACCTGCACCAGGCTGGGAAGACTGAATCTGCAATAGGTAACCAGCTTGGTTTGAAGGAATCAACTGTGGGAGCAATTATTAGGAAATGGAAGACATACAAGACCACTGATAATCTCCCTCGATCTGGGGCTCCACGCAAGATCTCACCCCGTGGGGTCAAAATGATCACAAGAACGGTGAGCAAAAATCCCAGAACCACACGGGGGGACCTAGTGAATGACCTGCAGAGAGCTGGCACCAAAGTAACAAAGCCTACCATCAGTAACACACTACGCCGCCAGGGACTCAAATCCTGCAGTGGAAGACGTGTCCCCCTGCTTAAGCCAGTACATGTCCAGGCTCGTCTGAAGTTTGCTAGAGTGCATTTGGATGATCCAGAAGAGGATTGGGAGAATGTCATATGGTCAGATGAAACCAAAATAGAACTTTTTGATAAAAACTCAACTCGTCGTGTTTGGAGGACAAAGAATGCTGAGTTGGATCCAAAGAACACCATACCTACTGTGAAGCATGGGGGTGGAAACATCATGCATTGGGGCTGTTTTTCTGCAAAGGGACCAGGACGACTGATCCGTGTAAAGGAAAGAATGAATGGGGCCATGTATCGTGAGATTTTGAGTGAAAACCTCATTCCATCAGCAAGGGCATTGAAGATGAAACGTGGCTGGGTCTTTCAGCATGACAATGATCCCAAACACACCGCCCGGGCAACGAAGGAGTGGCTTCGTAAAAAGCATTTCAAGGTCCTTTAGTGGCTTAGCCAGTCTCCAGATCTCAACCCCATAGAAAATCTTTGGAGGGAGTTGAAAGTCCGTGTTGCCCAGCGACAGCCCCAAAACATCACTGCTCTAGAGGATATCTGCATGGAGGAATGGGCCAAAATACCAGCAACAGAAAACGTTTGACCTGTGTCATTGCCAACAAAGGGTATATAACAAAGTATTGAGAAACTTTTGTTATTGCCCAAATACTTATTTTCCACCATAATTTGCAAATAAATTCATTACAAATCCTACAATGTGATTTTCTGGATTTTTTTCCCTCATTTTGTCTGTCATAGTTGACGTGTACCTATGATGAAAATTACAGGCCTCTCTCATCTTTTTAAGTGGGAGAACTTGCACAATTGGTGGCTGACTAAATACTTTTTTTCCCCACTGTAATTTCATTCCCTTACAATTTTTTTGTTGCTGTTTTCACATGTTGAGCGGTAATTTTCACATGTAAAAAGAAAGAGACACATGCGAAACCATGTATTACATTTAGAGTTCACATGTTAACACCAACTTTTCATGTGAGGAGAATAACGTATTTTCACCTCACATGTAAATTGCAGATTCACATGTGAAATTTCTAGTTACATGTGAAAAACGTTCGAATGAGCATTTTCACATGTGAACATTTTCCATATGTGCAAATCTAACTCTCACATGTGGAATTGCATTTTCACATGTGAAAAACGTATACATTTTGCATCCCCATGTTGTCACATTTATTTCACATGAGATCATGTTTTCACATGTTGCTTTTACATGTTGTCATGTTATCACATTAACTTCACATAATATCATATGTGATCACATAAAACTTTCAGGAATTGACGTAATTCTGTCTGTGCCATTTGTTAATTTGTTGCTATAAAACTATTCTCACCTCTGTTGCTTTACTTCTGTGTCGTTTTGTCACCAGGTCTTCCACAGGCTAACAGACATAAGATATTTGAGGGGCTGACGATCAACCAAGGCTTTTACACCTCCAAGGATTTCCTACCGTTGGTTGCCAAAGCCAGCAAAACAGGTAAACAATGCAGCCAATAGAACGAGCGGTGACAGCAGCAACTAAATAGTTTCTTTTTTTACGATTTTATTTATACTGAAAAATATAAACACAACATGTAAAGTGTTGGTCCCATGTTTCATAAGCTAAAATAAAAGATCCCATAAACGTTCCATACACACAAAAAGCTTGTTTCTCAAACATTTGTTTACATCCCTGTTAGTGAGCATTTCTCCTTTACCAAGATAAACCATCCACCTGACAGGTCTGGCATATCAAGAAGCTGATTAAACAGCATGAACATTACACAGATGCACCTTGTGCTGGGGACAATAAAAGGCCACTCTAAAATGTGCAGTTTTGTCACAACACAGTGCCACAGATGTCTCAAGTTTTGAGGGAGCGTGCAATTGGCATGCTGACTGCAGGAATGTGCACCAGAGATGTTGCCAAAGAATTTAATGTTAATTTCTCTACCATACACCGCCTCCAAAGTCGTTTTAGAGAATTTGGCAGTACGTCCAACTGGCCTCACAACCCGACAGACCTACCATATGGCGTTTTTGGATGATCGTCTGGCAGTAGTACTTTCCAGATAATTGATGATTCTCTACTACTTAGTGGCAATCCAACCGCTCACACCGCACACCATGTGTAACCACGCCAGCCCAGGACCTCCACATCCGGCTTCTTCACCTGCGAGATCGTCTGAGACCAGCCACCAGCCTCCTCACAAGGGTCTTAATCGGACTGCAGTCCGGCGTCGTAACTGACTTCAGTGGGCAAATGCTCACCTACGATTGCCAATGTCACACTGGATGAATACCGGACAGATGCCCGACAGCGTATATGGCGTAGTGTGGGTGAGCGGTTTGCTGATGTCAACGTTGTGAACAGAGTGCCTCATGGTGGTGGTGGGGTTATGGTATGGGCAGGAATAAGCTACGGACAACAAATGCAATAGCATTTTTTCGATGGCAATTTTAATGCACAGAGATACCATAACAGGATCCTGAGGCCCATTGTCGTGCCATTCATCCGCCGCCATCACCTCATGTTTCAGCATGATAATGCACAGCCGCATGTCACAAGGATACTCACCAGACATGTCACCCATTGAGCATGTTTGAGATGCTCTGGATCAACATGTACGACAGCGTGTTCCAGTTCCCGCCAATATCCAGCAACTTCCCACAGCCATTTAAGAGGAGCGGGACAACATTCCACAGGTCACAATCAACAGCCTGATCAACTCTATGCGAAGGAGATGTGTTGCGCTGCATGACGCAAATAGTGGTCACACCAGAAACTGACTGGTTTTCTGATCAATGTCCCTACCTTTTTTTTAAGGTACAGTATCTGTGACCAAGAGATGCTGTATCTGATCTGTATTCACAGTCAATGAATTTATTTCAATTGACTGATTTCCTTATATGAACTGTAACTTCGTAAAATCTTTGAAATAAGTGCATGTTGCATTTATATTTTTGTTCAGTGTAGTTTTCACATAATTAATTAAACTCTTAGACATACAGTCGTGGTCAAAAGTTTTGAGAATGACACAAGTATTGGTCAATAGTTTGCTGCTTCAGTGTTTTTAGATATTTTTGTCAGATGTTACTATGGTATACTGAAGTATAATTACAAGCATTCCATAAGTGTCAAAGGCTTTTATTGACAATTACATTAAGTTTATGCAAAGAGTCAATATTTGCAGTGTTGACCCTTCTTTTTCAAGACCTCTGCAATCTGCCCTGGCATGCTGTCAATTAACTTCTGGGCCACATCCTGACTGATGGCAGCCCATTCTTGCATAATCAATGCTTGGAGTTTGTCAGAATTTGTGGGTTTTTGTTTGTCCACCCGCCTCTTGAGGATTGACCACAAGTTCTCAATGGGATTAAGGTCTTGGGAGTTTCCTGGCCATGGACCCAAAATGTTGATGTTTTGTTCCCCGAGCCACTTAGTAATCACTTTTGCCTAATGGCAAGGTGCTCCATCATGCTGGAAAAGGCATTGTTCGTCACCAAACTGTTCTTGGATGGTTGGGAGAAGTTGCTCTCGGAGGATGTGTTGGTACCATTCTTTATTCATGGCTGTGTTCTTAGGCAAAATTGTGAGTGAGCCCACTCCCTTGGCTGAGAAGCAACCCCACACATGAATGGTCTCAGAATGCTTTACTGTTGGCATGACTGATGGTAGCACTCACCTTGTCTTCTCCGGACAAGCTTTTTTCCGGATGCCCCAAACAATCGGAAAGGGGATTCATCAGAGAAAATGACTTTACCCCAGTCCTCAGCAGTCCAATCCCTGTACCTTTTGCAGAATATCAGTCTGTCCCTGATGTTTTTCCTGGAGAGAAGTGGCTTCCTCGCTCTCCTTCTTGACACCAGGCCATCCTCCAAAAGTATTTGCCTCACTGTGCGTGCAGATGCACTCACACCTGCCTGCTGCCATTCCTGAGCAAGCTCTGCACTGGTGGTGCCCCGATCCCGCAGCTGAATCAACTTTAGGAGACGGTCCTGGCGCTTGCTGGACTTTCTTGGGCGCCCTGAAGCCTTCTTCACAACAATTGAACCTCTCCTTGAAGTTCTTGATGATCCAATAAATGGTTGATTTAGGTGCAATCTTACTAGCAACAATATCCTTGCCTGTGAAGCCCTTTTTGTGAAAAGCAATGATGACGGCACGTGTTTCCTTGCAGGTAACCATGGTTAACAGAGGAATAACAATGATTTCAAGCACCACCCTCCTTTTAAAGCTTCCAGTCTGTTATTCTAACTCAATCAGCATGACAGAGTGATCTCCAGCCTTGTGTTAACGAGAGAATCACTGACATGATGTCAGCTGGTCTTTCAGTGGACCCACTCTCCCCAAATAGAGCCCCACCAGCCACTATACTTTAATTTAATTTACAAGGTATTACAAACTGACCACAGTACTTAAGTGACAGTCTTTCTCCAATGTATTTACAATAACATAATCCACAGACTGTTGGTACATTAGGATAGGAGTTGGAGCTTAAAAGCCCTAAAAAGGCACAGCGCCTCAAAGTACAAAGAAGTACTTTGCTTTATGTTTTTTGTGTGTTTTCTGTTAAATGTCTGCTCAGTCCACATGTTCACACGTTCTATATATGTAATGTATACAATAACTATGTATTCATACAATGACTCTAAAATGTTATCTGGTTCTTCAATGATAGACGGAACAGACAAGGTTAACTTTGATTCTATACAAGTAAAGGACAACAAAATCCAACTTTTAAAAAAGCATAAGGTTCTTGATCATTTAAAGAGATTGTCAGCAGATGTGGTTTTCCTTCAAGAGATACATAAAAAAAGAGACATTTAACATTTAAAGAGGAGCTGGGTTAAAGAGGCCTATTCTGCCACCTACTGTAGTAACAGCAGAGGTATAGGAATCCTTCTAAACAAGAATAAACCCTTTTCCCTTATATCCCAGCACACAGACTAAGAAAGCCGTTTTCTCATTTTGAATTGTACCTTACATGGTGAAAAATACACATTGATTTCATTGTATATCCCCCCAGGGGCAAATGTGGAGTTTTTAGATATAATTCAAGCTATATTAGATCAAATCCAGACAGGAACTATTATTTTAGCAGGTGACCTGTACTGAACAAAAATATAAACACAACATGTAACAATTTCAAGGATTTTACTGGGTTACAGTTCATATAAGGTACTCAGTCTATTGAAATAAATTCATTAGGCCCTAATCTATGGATTTCACATGACTGGGAATACAAATATGCATCTGTTGGTCACAGATACCTTTAATAAAAAGTAGGGGCGTGGATCAGAAAACCAGTCAGTGTCTGATGTGACCACCATTTGCCTTATGCAGCGCGACACTTCTCCTTGGCATAGAGTTGTGTGGAATGTTGTCCCACTCCTCTTCAATGGCTGTGCGAAGTTGCTGGATATTGGCGGGAATTGGAACATGCTGTCGTACACGTCGATCCAGAGCATCCCAAACATGCTCAATGGCTGACATATCTGGAAGAACTGAAACATTTTCAGCTTCCAGGAATTATGTACAGATCCTTGCGACATGGGGCCGTGCATTCTCATGCTGAAATATAAGGTGATGGCGGCGGATGAATGGCACGACAATGGGCTTTAGGATCTCGTCACGTTATCTCTGTGCATTCAAATTGCCATAGATAAAATGCAATTGTGTTCGTTGTCCATAGCTTATGCCTGCTCATACCATAACCCCACTGCCACCATGGGGCACTCTGTTCACAACGTTGACATCAGCAAAATGCTCACCCACACAACGCCATACACGTGGTCTGCGGTTGTGAGGCCAGTTGGACGTACTGCCAAATTCTCTAAAACGACTTTGGAGGCGGTGTATGGTAGAGAAATGAACATTAAATTCTTTGGCAACATCTCTGGTGCACATTCCTGCAGTCAGCATGCCAATTGCACGCTCCCTTAAAACTTGAGACATCTGTGGCATTGTGTTGTTTGACAGAACTGCACATTTTAAAGTGGCCTTTAATTGTCCCCAGCACAAGGTGCACCTGTGTAATGATCATCCTGTTTAATCAGCTTCTTGATATGCCATACCTGTCAGGTGGATGGATTCTCTTGGCAATGGAGAAATGCTCACTAACAGGGATGCAAACAAATTTGAGCACAAAACTTTTTGTGCATATGGAACATTTCTGGGACCTTTTATTTCAGTTCATGAAACATGGGACCAACGCTTTAGATGTTGCGTTTATATTTTTGTTCAGTGTAAATCACACATTCGGCAAGTTAGACAGACGCAGCAATAAAAAAGGTAAATTCAAGGAACCTCCAAAGAGGCAAAACATATTATCTTTACAAATAATTTACAGGACACCTGGAAATTACTATTCCCAACTACAAAAGACTACTCCTTTTTTCAAAGGTTTGGACACACCTTCTCATTCAAGGGTTTTTCTTTATTTTTACAATTTTTTACACTGTAGAATAATAGTGAAGACATCAAAACTATGAAATAGCACATATGGAATCATGTAGTAACCAAAAAAGTGTTAAACAAATCAAAATACATTTTATATTTGAGATTCTTCATATAGCCGCCATTTGCCTTGATGACAGCCTTTCACACTCTTGGCACTCTCTCAACCAGATTCACCTGGAATGCTTTTCCAACAGTCTTGAAGGAGTTCCCACATATGCTGAGCACTTGTTGGCTGCTTTTCCTTCACTCTGCCGTCCGACTCATCCCAAACCATCTCAATTGGGTTGAGGTCGGGGGATTGTGGAGGCCAGGTCATCTGATGCAACACTCCATCACTCTCCTTCTTGGTAAAATAGCCCTTACACAGCCTGGAGGTGTGTTGGGTCATTGTCCTGTTGAAAAACAAATGATAGTCCCACTAAGCCCAAACCAGATGGGATGGCGAATCGCTGCAGAATGCTGTGGTAGCCATGCTGGATAAGTGTGCCTTGGATTCTAAATAAATCACAGTCAGTGTCACCAGCAAAGCACCCCCACACCATAACACCTCCTCCACCATGCTTTACGATGGGAACTACACATGCGGAGATCATCCGTTCTCACAAAGACACGGCGGTTGGAATAAAAAATCTCCAATTTGGACTCCAGATCAAAGGACACATTTCCACGGTTTAATGTCCATTGCTCGTGTTTCTTGACCCAAGCATGTCTCTTCTTCTTATTGGTGTCCTTTAGTCGTGGTTTCTTTGCAGCAATTCGACCATGAAGGCCTGATTCACGCATTCCCCTCTGAACAGTTGATGTTGAGATGTGTCTGTGACTTGAACTCTGTGAAGCATTTATTTGGGCTGCAATTTCTGAGGCTGGTAACTCTAATGAACTTATCCTTTGCAGCAGAGGTAACTCTGGGTCTTACATTCCTGTGGCGGTCCTCATGAGAGCCAGTTTCATCATAGCACTTGATGTGTTTTGTGACTGCACTTGAAGAAACTTTCAAAGTTCTTGACATTTTCCGTATTGACTGACCTTCATGTCTTAAAGTAAGAATCTCAAATATAAAATATATTTTGATTTGTTTAACACTTTTTTGGTTACTACATGATTCCATATGTGTTATTTCATAGTTTTGATGTCTTCACTATTATTCTACAATGTAAAAAATTGTGTCCAAACTTTTGACTGGTAGTGTATATATTTAGTACATCAGAATCTCAAAATCAACACAATAAATGATCAGATTGAAACTCCTTTTCTCTTCTTCTCCCGCTTTTAGGAATGTGTAGCTGCAAGTCTTCCCTGCCAGAGCTGCGTGGCACTGTGATCGTGCTGGGTGCAGGAGACACAGCGTTCGACTGTGCCACCTCTTCCCTGCGCTGCGGTGCCAAGCGCGTCTACGTGGTCTTTAGGAAAGGCTTCACTAACATCAGGGCTGTCCCAGAGGAGGTAGAGACAAACAAGAAGAAAGGAGAGAAAAGGAAAGAAAGGAAAAAAGAAAAGACGTTGACAGAGAGAGAGATTGCTAAATGTTACCGGTGTACCAGATGCTTAACTTGTTTGAGAAAGAGAGAGGAAGACAGACAGAGAGAGAAAGACCGGAGAGAGAGAGATAGACAGAGAGATAGTGTTAGGGAGAAGGCTAGTGAGAGGAGAGAGGACGCTGTGTTTATTAAGTTGTCTGTGTGAGTGTCCTCTCCTTGGCCCTGCTGACATGTCTCTTAAGCCGCTTTTCTCTCTGGTTTATTGCAAAGGCCTGTCTTTGGGTCTGGAGGGCGGTAACTGTCAAAAGCTCTCCGCCTGCACACACACACTGCCGTGAGCCCCAGACGGACTCACTGGGATCTGTCCCTTTCTAGTAATGCTGCCACAAAGGAGAGAGGAAGGATATCATAGGCAGTGCTGTTTCTATTTTCACTGTTCCTTCAAAAGATATCCCTGCATTTGAAGCATGACATTGACTCGTGTACTCTCTTCAGTCTTGATTCTTATCAACTTTTGATGTGTTAGACCGTCAGTAAAAGTATCACTTGGAGTTAAGATACATTCTTCAACTGCTGTATATTAGTTATGATTGTGAGTGTGATGAGAAGTTCAAGGTGTCTTTCTGTCAATGCTATTTTAGTTTGCAGTTGAGTTTGACAGCACAGTTCATTCTAGAATCATCGTCCAACGGCATCTTTATTCATGCGTCGTGTCAGAGCTCACCTCTTGCTGCCATAGTAACGGCAAAAATAACCCCTAACGAAATGAGAAAAGTAAGGTGATTATCAACAGCTGTTTGCTTTTCCCCGCAGAAGCCGACAGTTAAGCTGCTAGCATCGCCTCTCACTAATTACGTTTGTTTATAAGGTATATTAAGTTTAGGCCTCTTGTAGGCGTCAGTAACCTTCACATCACATTGAAAAAAAGCTAAATATTGTGTGAAGCATGAGCATTGATGTCAACTGAGACAATTTCAGAAAACTGTGGGAGAAAGGGAAGCTATTATAGAAGCAACCCACCCCCCTTCCCTTTTGTGCACATCTCAGGACTGGAAACGTAATTTCAATGACTTTGTTGTAGATGGGGGGCTTTTTTCATTAATCCGTATGAAATTGAAGGTCTTTGAACAAAACAGGAACATTTCGTAGTGTCTTCTATTGTGTGCCGTTGTAATGCGTGAAACTACAAAATATATTTTCCAGTCCTGACTAACCAAGGGAATAAAAAGGTTTTACCTTGGGCTTGATAATTAAACATCTTTCTGTCCAGTTTTAGATGAAATTTACTTTGCATTTGATGAGAAATATTGTGATAAAAAATTATAATCTTTGATACAAATAATTTAACACAATTCAAGCCACAATTTGAATATGTAACCTGTCTATGACCCCTCACCGTTGACCCCTGACCTCTGTATTTCCACAACCTATAGATGGAGCTGGCCAAAGAAGAGAAGTGTGAGTTCATGCCCTTCCTGTCCCCTCGTGAGGTCATCATGAATTCGGGTCGCGTGGCGGGCATGGAGTTCTGTCGTACAGAGCTGACAGACGAAGGTGATTGGATGGAGGACGAGGATCAGATCATACGCCTCAAGGCCGATTACATCATCAGCGCCTTCGGATCCATGCTGAGCGACCCCAAAGGTATCAATCATAATCAAACTTTATTGAAAGTGCATTGAACATTTTTGTATGAATGACAGCTTTGCAAACATGTTCTATGTTCTACAGTAAGTAAAGGTGCCATGTGACCATTGACTAACAGCCATCCCAGTAGTCTTGCTATTGATACACAATAATACAGACTTTACTCTGAATGGAACCAGAGTTTTGCCATACGAGTAGACTCTTTGACAGCACAGTCGACTGTTATAGTTTTTATCAACTCTTACAAATATCCTCAAATTGAGTGTTTCTCTGAAGAGTTTGTGTTGAATGTTGTCTACATTATTGCTTTAAAAGCAGCGTGAGGAGGTTATCCTTAAGCCGCATTAAACAGACAGAAAACCTGGGGAACAAACACTAGCCATTACGTTGATGCTACACCTGGATCTCCCTTTTTTCTCCTGGAGATGTCTCATTATACGAGCGAAGACAGTGGTCCCATTTGGATAGGACTGTCTAACTAATCTTTGTTTAGCACATTTGGAGCAGAATTTAAGAACTTTTCCTCATCATCTACGCACAATATGCCCTGTGTTGAGGCTCTAATTTAGATGAGTGCCGGTGATGAGAACTCAATGTACTTTGGTTTTGAGGCTCACATGTGTGTGTGTGTGTGTGCGTGTTAGCGTGCCTGTGTGTCTGCCTGTATGTGTGTGTGTTTACAGAACCTTGTCTTATTCAAGTTGATATATCATAACATCATAAGCACCTGCCCTGCATTCTCCTACACAACAACAACAGTCTAGGACAGGGATCATTTACTAGATTCAGCCGCGGGCCGATTTTTCTCGAGCAGATGGTCAGGGGGCTGGAACCTAATTACAAATAATGTGTAGACTGCAAATTAATCGCAAGAAGCCCAAACAGATACAGTGTAATATTTGACTAAAACATCATTTCAAACCTTGCTTACATTTGTATTCGATCACGTATCTCTCTATTATTGGGAATACTTGGGAACAGATTTAAAAAAATAAAAATCACTTGGAGCTGATTTCCTGGTGTCGTTACAGTCTTTTATGTCCAACAATATATCTATATCTATATCTATATATATATACACACACTACCAGTCAGAAGTTTGGACACACCTAATCATTCAAGGTTTTTCTTATTTTACATTTTTTTACATTTAATAAAACATCAAAACATGAAAACACATATGGAATTTGTACCGAAAGTGTTAACAAATCAAAATATTTTATATTTGAGTTCTTCAATAGCCACCCTTTGCCTGGACACGCTTGCTCTGCTTCTCTCAACCAGCTTCATGAGGTATCACCTGGAATGCATTTAATTACAGGTGTGCCTTCTTAAAAATAATTTGTGGAATCTTATGCTTTGAGCCAAATGACCGAAGTAGCCTATTTGTTAAAATACAATTTTTTAGATTTTTTGTCATTTAGCAGACGCTCTTATCCAGAGCGACTTACAGTTAGTGAGCGCATACATTTTTCATACTAATATAGACCAAGTCCATATTATGGCAAGAACAGCTCAAATAAGCAAAGAGAAACAACAGTCCATCATTACTTTAAGACATGAATGTCAGTCAATACTGAACATTTCAAGAACTTTGAAATTTTCTTCAAGTGTAGTCGCAAAAACCATCAAGTGCTATGATTTAACTGCCTCTCATGTGGACCGCCACAGGAATGGAAGACCCAGATTGACCTCTGCTGCAGAGGATAAGTTCATTAGAGTTACCAGCCTCAGAAATTGCAGCCCAAATAACTGCTTCACAGAGTTCAAGTAACAGACACATCTCAACATCAACTGTTCAGAGGAGACTGTGTGAATCAGGGCTTCATGGTCGAATTGCTGCAAAGAAACTACTACTAAAGGACACCAATAAGAAGAAAATACTTTTTATCATAGGTACACTTCAACTGCGAGAGACGGAATCTAAAACACAAATCCAGAAAATCACATTGTATGATTTTTAAGTAATTAATTTGCATTTTATTGCATGACATAAGTATTTGATCACCTACCAACCAGTAAGAATTCCGGCTCTCACAGACCTGTTAGTTTTTTCTTTAAGAAGCCCTCCTGTTCTCCACTCATTACCTGTATTAACTGCACCTGTTTGAACTCGTTACCTGTATAAAAGACACCTGTCCACACACTCAATCAAACAGACTCCAACCTCTCCACAATGGCCAAGACCAGAGAGCTGTGTAAGGACATCAGGGATAAAATTGTAGACCTGCACAAGGCTGGGGTGGGCTCCAGGACAATAGGCAAGCAGCTTGGTGAGAAGGCAACAACTGTTGGCGCAATTATTAGAAAATGGAAGAAGTTCAAGATGACGGTCAATCACCCTCAGTGTGGGGCTCCATGCAAGATCTCACCTCGTGGGGCATCAATGATCATGAGGAAGGTGAGGGATCAGCCCAGAACTACACGGCAGGACCTGGTCAATGACCTGAAGAGAGCTGGTACCACAGTCTCAAAGAAAACCATTAGTAACACACTATGCCGTCATGGATTAAAATCCTGCAGCGCACGCAAGGTCCCCCTGCTCAAGCCAGCGCATGTCCAGGCTGTCTGAAGTTTGCCAATGACCATCTCGATGATCCAGAGGAGGAATGGGAGAAGCTCATGTGGTCTGATGAGACAAAAATAGAGCTTTTTGGTCTAAACTCCACTCGCCGTGTTTGGAGGAAGAAGAAGGATGAGTACAACCCCAAGAACACCATCACAACCGTGAAGCATAGAGGTGGAAACATCATTCTTTGGGGATGCTTTTCTGCAAAGGGGACAGGACGACTGCACCGTATTGAGGGGAGGATGGATGGGGCCATTTATCACGAGATCTTGGCCAACAACCTCCTTCCCTCAGTAAGAGCATTGAAGATGGGTCGTGGCTGGGTCTTCCAGCATGACAACGACCCGAAACACACAGCCAGGGCAACTAAGGAGTGGCTCTGTAAGAAGCATCTGGAGTGGCCTAGCCAGTCTCCAGACCTGAACCCAATAGAAAATCTTTGGAGGGAGCTGAAAGTCTGTATGTCCCCGAAACTTGAAGGATCTGGAGAATGTCTGTATGGAGGAGTGGGCCAAAATCCCTGCTGCAGTGTGTTCAAACCTGGTCAAGACCTACAGGAAACGTATGATCTCTGTAATTGCAAACAAAGGTTTCTGTACCAAATATTAAGTTCTGCTTTTCTGATGTATCAAATACTTATGTCATGCAATAAAATGTAAATTAATTACTTAAAAATCATACAATGTGATTTTCTGGATTTTTGTTTTAGATTCCGTTTCTCACAGTTGAAGTGTACCTATGATAAAAATTACAGACCTCTACATGCTTTGTCAGTAGGAAAACCTGCAAAATCGGCAGTGTATCAAATACTTGTTCTCCCCACTGTATATATATATATACACACACTACCAGTCAGAAGTTTGGACACACCTACTCATTCAAGGGTTTTTCTTTATTTTTACTATTTTTTTTACATTGTAGAATAATAGTGAAGACATCAAAACTATGAAATAACACATATGGAATCATGTAGTAACCAGAAAAGTGTTAAACAAATCAAAATATATTTTATATTTGAGATTCTTCAAATAGCCACCCTTTGCCTTGATGACACGCTTTGCTCTTGGCATTCTCTCAACCAGCTTCATGAGGTAGTCACCTGGAATGCATTTAAATTAACAGGTGTGCCGTCTTAAAAATTAATTTGTGGAATTTCTTTCCTTAATGCGTTTGAGCCAAACAGTTGTGTTGTGACAGAAGATAGCCCTATTTGTTAAAATACAATTTTTTAGATTTTTTGTCATTTAGCAGACGCTCTTATCCAGAGCGACTTACAGTTAGTGAGCGCATACATTTTTCATACTAATATAGACCAAGTCCATATTATGGCAAGAACAGCTCAAATAAGCAAAGAGAAACAACAGTCCATCATTACTTTAAGACATGAATGTCAGTCAATACTGAACATTTCAAGAACTTTGAAATTTTCTTCAAGTGTAGTCGCAAAAACCATCAAGTGCTATGATTTAACTGCCTCTCATGTGGACCGCCACAGGAATGGAAGACCCTGATTGACCTCTGCTGCAGAGGATAAGTTCATTAGAGTTACCAGCCTCAGAAATTGCAGCCCAAATAACTGCTTCACAGAGTTCAAGTAACAGACACATCTCAACATCAACTGTTCAGAGGAGACTGTGTGAATCAGGGCTTCATGGTCGAATTGCTGCAAAGAAACCACTACTAAAGGACACCAATAAGAAGAAAATACTTGCTTGGGCCCAGAAACACGAGTAATGGACATTAGACCGGTGGAAATGTGTCCTTTGGTCTGGAGTCCAAATTGGAGATTTTTGGTTCCAACAGCCGTGGCCATGTGAGACGCGGTGTGGGTGAACGGATGATCTCCGCATGTGTAGTTCCCACCGTAAAGCATGGAGGAGGAGGTGTTATGGTGTGGGGGTGCTTTGCTGGTGACACTGTCTGTGATTTATTTAGAATTCAAGGCACACCTAACCAGCATGGCTACCGCAGCATTCTGCAGCGATACGCCATCCCATCTGGTTTGGGCTTAGGAAAGGCTATCATTTGTTTTTCAACAGGACAATGACCCAACACACCTCCAGGCTGTGTAAGGGCTATTTTACCAAGAAGGAGAGTGATGGAGTACTGCATCAGATGACCTGGCCTCCACAATCCCTCGACCTAAACCCAATTGAAATGGTTTGGGATGAGTCGGACCGAAGAGTGAAGGCAGCCAACAAGTGCTCAGCATATGTGGGAACTCCTTAAAGACTGTTGGAAAAGCATTCCAGGTGAAGCTGGTTGAGAGAATGCCAAGAGGTTTTTCTTTATTTTTTACTATTTTTTACATTGTAGAATAATAGTGAACACATCAAAACTATGAAATAACACATATGGAATCATGTAGTAACCAAATATATATATATATATATATTATTTGCTCAGAAAACATGTGGGGGCCAAACCTGCAGGCCGCCAGTTGGGGAAAACTGGTCTACGATT